GAAATCGTGTTCAAAGAGTCTCAGAAATGGAGTATATCCCAATGTGATAAGGTTAATTGAATCATTGCAGTTAAAGTGGGGTCAAGCTGAATTAATTTTACAGTGTAGATGAGAACACTTAAGGGTCTCTTGGTCCTCTAGCGCAAGATTATGCTTGACTTGGCCACAGAGTTGCACTGAAGTCCCGAGAGTTTTCTAAGGAGAACATATTAATAACAACAATCCTGTCTGCAAAATGGAACATGTCAATGTGAAGGGCCAATTGTATAACAACAACACTTTATTTGTATTCCACCCTATCTCCCTGAGCGGACTAATTGCCGATTCCTGCATATTCAGGCTCTTTCTGCACAGCTGAATAAAATCCCACGTTATCTGCTTTGAACGGGAATATATGACAGTATGGACTCAGATAACCCAGTTTCGAGCATATGTTGTGGGATTTTCTACCTTGATATTTTGGGATATAGCGCTGTGTGAATGGACCCACAGTGATCCAAGGCAAACATTCAATGCCTTAAAACAATGAATCGCAGACACGCAGATAAAGCTAAAGGCTTCCCCTTTCATCTCCAGCTCTAGGGGGTGCTGCTCATCTCCATTTCTAAGCCGAAGAGCTTGTGTTGTCCATAGACACCTCCTGGTGTAGCAGCAGATAGGAGAGATAATACCAAGAGCGATTCCTTCTGGGAGACAGAAAAGTACATTTTTATTTTCAGCTGAGACCCTGGCGTGGAATTGCGTCCAAAAACAAACCAGAGTGAGGATAAAGGTGTTGAATTTCCCTTTTATATATCTTCAAATGCAGAGAAAGAAAGAAACATGCTTCTACATATGTAACATCATCACTACGTCACTTTTGCATCATAGAAATATCAAATTATATCTTCTACATGCAAGGGCATGCCTTCATATTTTTTCTAAAGCAGCTTACAGCATTAGAGATAACTAGGATTCAGTTTAGATCCATCAAGAGGCCTACTTTTGACCTGTCAGGAGGGAGGGAGAGAGACTCTTTACTTTTCACTTCTATTTGTGCCAGGCCTTTCTTATCTTCCCCTCCTGGAATGCTCACCACCTTCTTGTCTGTGCCTTGGACACAGATCCTTCGGCATCCCTTTTGTCCTGTCAGCTTGGCTTCCTAATACAGAGAGAACTTGACTTTTTCTAAATTTCAGTGCTTGTAATGTATATGCAATCTATATAAATAAAAATGTAATGTTCGTTTGTGGGATTAACATAACTCAAAAACCACTGGACGAATTGACACCAAATTTGGACAGCATACACCTAACAACCCAATGTATGTCCTTCACTCAATTTTTTTTTGATTTTGTCATTTGGGAGTTGTAGTTGCTGGGATTTATAGTTCACCTACAATCAAAGAGCATTCTGAATCCACCAACGATGGAATTGAACCAAACTTGGCACACAGAACTCCCATGACCAACAGAAAATACTGGAAGGGTTTGGTGGGCATTGACTGAGGTTTGGAGTTGTAGTTCACCTACATCCAGAGAGCACTGTGAACTCAAACAAGGGTTTGGTGGTCAAACTTGGCACAAATATTCCATTTGCCCAAATATAAACACAGATGGAGTTTGGGGAAAATAGACCTTGACATTTGGGAGTTGTAGTTACTGGGATTTATAGTTCACCTACAATCAAAGAGCATTCTGAACCCCACCAACAACAGAATTGGGGCAGACTTCCCACAGAGAACCCCCATGACCAACAGAAAATACTTAAGGCCATCCAGTCCAACTTCACCAGGGCAGGATAACATAATTAAAGCCCTCCTAACAAAGAGTCATCCAGCCATGTGTGTGTGTGTGTGTGTGTGTGTGTGTGTGTGTGATTCACACACACACATAGTATCATAGATTTGAAAGGGACCCCAAAAGAAGGACAATCATATGTTGCACGTTCCAGAATAGGCAAACCAGACAATCTCCATATCAATACTGACAAAGAAACAGCAAGAAATGCTGTTTACCCACAAGCATAAAGAAATTACATATATTAGAAACCAACACTTTCTCATTACTTTATTTTCCAGATCACCAGACTGGGCCACAGCAACGCGTGGCAGGGGACGGCAAGTATATGTATAAATATCCATATTTCCAATATCTCCCCATCAATAATGTGGTCGGCATGACTGCATGGAGCGCCGTTTACCTTCCTGCCAAGGCAGTACCTATTGATCTACTCACATTTGCGTGTTTTAAAATTGTTAGGTTGGCAGAAGCTGGGGCTAACAGCAGGAGCTCACCCTGTGTGGATTTAGACACCTGACTTTTTGGTCAGCAAGTTCAGCAGCTCAACGCTGCACCACTGAGGCCCCACTTAGATAAAAAAAAACCTTATCCTTTAGGGTAAAAGCCCTCACAAAAGCAGATTATGTCACAAAAATATAACTCTGAGCAGACCATGATTCATTATAGGAATAATATTTCCAGTAGTGAATAAAACCTTAGTGAAAAGTATGGCAAGTCGCCATCAATAATGGTATTGTGACATATTTTTTAAAATGATGCGTGACACTTTCCCTAGAACAAATACAGATTATTTTGAACTCAAGCTTTCTCTATTTCTCAAGAAGCATTGGCCAATTTCCTTCCCTATTGCTTATGAGTAGCTGCTGCAAAGCCTCTCTTGAAAACAGTCAAGGTTACAGAGTACAGTCTGACTCACTGTTCTGTGACTGATTGAGAGACATCAATATTGCAGCTGGCAGTGTTTATACACAACCCACTGAGCAAGGATACCTGACTTGGAGCAAAGAATTTCTTGGAAAGAGCTAGCCATCTCCATTAAGAGAGATTTAAGGGATTACATTACAAGAACAGCCTATTAGGTGTGGGTTGGAGTTTCCTATTGGAGACCCCTTGGTCATGTCATGCCTGTGTCCCTATTATCACATCTCATTGTTAGTTGGAGATATAGGATGCTTCCAGGCAAGGTTTGCTTTCCACACACACTACCTTGCCCTCACACATATAATTTTGTTTTAAATTTAGGGTCCTAGATAAATAGCCCAGAATATTAAGGCAGAGAATTCCACAATATTAGCTTTGAACTGGGTTATCCAAGTCCACACTGCCATATATTCCAGTTGAAAGCAGATAATGAGGGATTTTATTCAGCTGTGTGGAAAGGGCCTGACTTTGGACCGTTCCAAACAGGCCCTACATCCCAGGATCTGATCCCAGGTTTTCTGTTTATCCCAGATTACTTGGCAGTGTGGACTCATTTGGCAGTGTGGTTCTGGGGCCAGAGTGAAGAGCGGAAACCAGGAGGACTGTTCCACCTTGTCTCAGTTGAGGGCTCCTTCCCCCTGCAACAATACAGTACTATATAATACTAATATTGTGTTATGCTAAAAATAAATATATTGCATATACATATAATATTGATAATATTATTATTATACTGTTATACAATATAATAGGCTGGATGGCCATCTGTTAGGGGTGATTTGAACGCAATATTCCTGCTTCTTGGCAGGGGGTTGGACTGGATGGCCCATGAGGTCTCTTCCAACTCTTTGATTCTATGAATTATGACTAATAAAATATAATATTAATTATATATTATATATTACATGTAATATTACTAATAATATTATAGTATAGTGGTATAGAACAATATAGTAATGTATAATGCTAATATTGTGTTATACTAATAATATAATGTATATACATATAAAATTGATAATATTATAATGTAATACAATAAAATACTACTAATAATACAATATAATAATATTAATTACATATTATATATTACATGTAATATTACTAATAATATTATTGATGGAATCGTTCCAGGAGTTGCATGTGATGTCTGTAGACTATCCATATCTTGCAGGCACATAGCAGGGTTGGGAGGACAATAGCTTTATAACAAGCACCTTGGTATCCCTACGGATGTCCCGGTCCTCAAACACTCTCTGCTTCATTCGGAAAAATGCTGCACTTGCAGAGCTCAGGCGGTGTTGTATTTCAGTGTCAATGTTGACTTTGGTGGAGAGGTGGCTGCCAAGGAGTGGAAATGGTCAACATTTTCTAATGCTACACCATTAAGCTGTATCTCTGGCATTGGGGAGGGGATGGCTGGTGACTGCTGGAACAGCACTTTGGTTTTCTCGATGTTCAGTGACAGGCCAAGCTTCGTGTATGCTTCTGCGAAGGTGTTTAGAGTGGCTTGTAGATCTTCTTCTGTATGTGCACAGATGACATTGTCATCAGCATACTGGAATTCTATAACAGATGTTGTTGTAACTTTGGTTTTGGCTTTCAGTCTGCTGAGGTTAAAGAGCTTGCCATCTGTCCTATAGATGATTTCCACCCTGGTGGGAAGCTTCCCATCAACAAGGTGAAGTATCATAGCGATGAAGATGGAGAGTAAAGTTGGGGCAATAACACATCCCACTTTAAATGGGTCACTTTGGGAGCCATTGCTGTTATATTGTACATATAATATTGATAATATTATAGTGTAATACAATGAAATACTAATAATATTATAATATAATATAATATAATGTTACAGTATAAGAGTATAGTACAATATAGTAATGTATAATGATAATATTGTGCAATGCTAATAATATTGTATGTACATATAACTTGTAAGACGCTCTGAGTCCCCTAATATAATATAATCCAGTTTAAAGCAGAAAACTTGGGATCAGATCCTGGGATAGATATAGGGCATGTCTGCAAGGGCCCATTGTTCTCTTCTCTGACTGCAGTATGCTAATTTATGCATAATATGCTCCTCTCTAAACCGATTCTATTATATTTACTATCTAGTTTTGCTACCTGGTTCTTGGTTCGACTGGAAAGAAACCCTCCCTTTCAAAAGGCTAGACAACATTCGCACTGCGCATGCGCAGAGCTCCTCCTCCCTAACACTCTGATGACCGACGCGGTCATTCCTTCCCTAACCCACTTTCTGCCTTCGGGACGCAAGAGCGTTCCTGGTTCACCGAGGGGGGCGTGGCGAAGAATGGCCTGGGCAGCCAATCAGGAGCGTCCCTTTCTCCTGTGACGTCACGATCCTCAGAACACTGGGATCAGCAGCAGTAGCAACAATAACAGTACCAGAGGGGGACCATTTCCCTGCGAGTTGGCCAGCTGGGAGCTGCTGCTACTATCTCTGGCTTCAGGGCAGAACTACAGCCGCCAAATCGGAAAGCTTTAGAAGGAGATCAAAAATAGAAAGCCATGTCGTCGAGCGGGGCGCCTGGGTTGCACCAAGAGGAAAATCTGCAGGGTAAGAGGAAATCTACCTCCTTAATATACAGATGGATATCACTATATCTATATATGTGTGTCTGTGCATATGATATATACATGTGTATGTGATATAATTATATAGATACACACACACACACACATATATGTATATGTGTATATGTGTGTATATGATATAATAATAATAATAATAATGATAAAAAATTGGGTGCAGTGCCTAAAGACCTTGGCCTGCACTTAAAAACAATCAGCGCTGACAAAATCACCATCTGCCAGCTGCAGAAGGTCACCTTATTGGGATCTGTGCCTTATTGGGATAGATGGCTCCTAACCATGACCTGAACTCAGTTCCTATATTTGATTACTCTATTTTTTAAGCTAAGCTATAATTTATTTATTTACTATATTTGTATACCGCTCTTCTCAGCCCTCAGGGCGACTCAGAGCGGTTAACAAAGCAAATACAATACTTAAACATGATAAAAACAGTTAAAAACAAGTTAAAAGAATAACATTATAACAATCAATAACGATCGATTCTGTTATAATTGGTCTGTTCGTATTCTACTACTTGTTCTATCCACCTTCTTGACCAACCTATCCTTTAACTCGTTTTGCATATTGATCCCCTCCCCCAAAAAATGAGATTAGAGGTATCTATGTAGTTGCTTATGATTGCTTTTATTGTTTATGGTGATATTGTTTTTATGCTGTTTTATATTTTTGTTGTTCTGCTTTTTAACTGTATGTTGTCTGGGCATGGCCCCATGTAATCCGCCCTAAGATGGAGGCGGGGTAGAATAATAATAATAATAATAATAATAATTACTTACTGACACAAAACCACAGTATGTCACAGCGAATGAGATCTCTATGCTGGATTCCTTCTTCTTCTTCTTCTTCTTCTTCTTCTTTGTCGCCGGTTCAAATCTGGGGAGTGGAGTGAGCTCCCGCTGCTAGCCCCAGCTTCTGCCAACCTAGCAATTCGAAAACATGCAAATCTATATATAACAATAGGTACTGCTCTGGCAGGAAGGTAATGGTGTTCCATGCAGTCATGCTGGCCACAAGACCTTGGTGGTGTCTACGGACATTGCTGGCTCTTCAGCTTAGAAATGGAGATGAGCACCAACCCCCAGAGTCACATACAATTGGACTTTATGTCAGGGGGAAACCTTTACATTTACCTAACATTACATTTTAACTCAACTAATATAACAAGACTAAAAAGTGTTAAAATTAGTAATAATTTTAAAAACATAAAAAAATTCAGAGGAGATAATGTGTGTGTGTGTGTGTGTGTGTATATATATCACTATTTCTATATATTTGTTGCACTGTCTGAAGATATCTACCTATATAGATATCACTATATTGATCTGTCTCCATGGTTCCCAACCTTTGGGTCTCCAGGTGTTTTGGACTTCAGCTCCCAGAGTTCCTAACACCTGGAGATCCAAAGGTTGAGAACCATCTATCTAAATTACTATCTGTATCTCTCACTATTTGAAGATAGATGGATAGATAGACAGACACACAAATACACACACACACATGTCACTGTCTGAAGAGTTTTACTGTTGGTCTTCAGTTTGGAAGACAGGCAAGCAAATTGAAAGCAAACGATCTCCAATAACCCTTCACCATCATCTTCCTGTGTAGCCCTGAAGTCATCCAAGCTAAAGATAGAATTATTATTATTTCAGTGATGGTTGGAATCATATGGTGTGAAGGGAAAGGCCAGGATGGCAAGGAAACTGAATGGCTCACATCTCACAATATTTGCTTTGCATGACCGGCAAGAAAATATTCCGGGCATTTGTAATAAATAGCTTGGGTGCATCCACACTGCAGAGTTAATGCAACCTGATCTCTCTTTTAAGTGCTGTGTAATTGTGGCACTTGTCGTTTTACAAGGTCTTTATGCCTTGTAGTTTGCCGATGCCCCACCAAACTATAATTCCATAGCATTGATGCTATAAAACCTGCCTTGAGCTATGGCAGCCCAAGTGTTGTCAAACTGCATCCATTCTACAGTGTAGATGCACCTGAGTTTCTTTCCACTGGTGAGGTGTGCCATTCGTTCCCTCCTTCCTAACAATCTGGTTGGCTTTACTATTCATATTCAAAGCGTACATCCTCTGTTCTTTCTCCTTATTTCTGTTCTCCACCTGGCCTTGTTGTGCTTTTGTATGAGTCATCCCTTCTCCGAGCACATTTCGGTCTGTAAATAATTGGCCTTTGGAAATGATTGGTGCCTGGGGGTTGTTAAGGGGTGATGTCATGAGATTTGCTACCAATGGGCTGCGAGAAACCTTGAAGCCAGGTTGCAACATGGAAGGGAGTTTCCCCTTACCTTGAATTAATTGCACCTGTGCTCAGGTAAACATAACTAATACTGTTAGATAGCACTTTGGAATGGGCTTCTGCCAAATGTTTGTTTATTTATGGGGTGGGAATGCAAGTTTTAGGGTGCATCATTGTAGAATGTATGTGGTTTTGACACATAGAATCATAGAGTTGGAAGAAACCTCATGGGCCATCCAATCCAACCCCCTGCCAAGAAGCAGGAAAATTGCATTCAAAGCACCCCGACAGATGGCCATCCAGCCTCTGTTTAAAAGCTTCCAAAGAAGGAGCCTCTACCACACTCCGGGGCAGAGAGTTCCACTGCTGAACAGCTCTCACCGTTAGGAAGTTCTTCCTAATGTTCAGATGGAATCTCCTTTCTTGTAGTTTGAAGCCATTGTTCTGCGTCCTAGTCTCCAGGGCAGCAGAAAACAAGTTTGCTCCCCCTCCCTATGACTTCCCCTCACATATTTATACATGGCCATCATGTCTCCTCTCAGCCTTCTCTTCTTCAGGCTAAACATGCCCAGCTCTTTAAGGCTCCTCATAGGGCTTGTTCTCCAGACCCTTGATCATTTTAGCCCTCCTCTGGACACATTCCAGCTTGTCAACATCTCCCTTCAATTGTGGTGCCCAGAATTGGATACAGTATTCCAGGTGTGGTCTGACCAAGGCAGAATAGAGGGGTAGCATGACTTCCCTGGATCTAGACACTATACTCCTAATGATGCAGGCCAAAATCCCTTGGCTTTTTTAGCCGCCGCATCACATTGTTGGCTCATGTTTAACTTGTTGTCCATGAGGACCCCAAGATCTTTTTCACATGTACTGCTCTCGAGCCAGGAGCCCCCCATTCTGTATCTTTGCATTTCGTTTTTTCTGCCTAAGTGGAGTATCTTGCATTTGTCACTGTTGAACTTCAATTTGTTAACTTTGGCCCATCACTCTAATCTGTGACACTACTTTAACTACTCTGCTGCAATACTATGGAAGCAATGGAGTTGTAATTTAGTGAGGCACCAGCACCCTTTGGCAGAGACGACTAAAATTTTGGAAAACTAAAACTCATGATCCCATAGCATTGACCCATTGCAATTAACATGGTGTCAAACCACATTAATTCTACAGTGTAGATGCACTTTAAGTCACATTATTATTTCCAGCTAGAAGTACACTCACTGAAGCAATGGAAATTACATAAGAATCTATTTACTATATTCCTGATGATTAAATAAATTTAAAGTACCTGGGATAAACAATTGGATCCATTAATTTATAGTTTTCTTGTGCTTACCGTAAAGGAAAAGTTAACTCACTGTTGAAGTTGAAAGGATTGTTGCCAAATCTGTATTTCAGCATAAGGAAAGGTAAAGGTTTCCCCTTGACATTAAGTCTAATTGTGTCTGACTCTGGGGGGTGATGCTCATCTCCATTTCTCAGCCGAAGAGCCAGCATTGTCTGTAGACACCTCCAAGGTCATGTGGCCGGCATGATTGCATGGAGCGCTGTTACCTTCCCACTGGAATGGTTTCTATTTGTCTACTCACATTTGATGTGTTCAAACTGCTAGGTTGGCAGAAGCTGGGGCTAACACTGGGAGCTCACCCTGCTCCCCGAATTCGACCCGCTGACCTTTCAATCAGTAAGTTCAGCAGTTTAACCCACTGTGCCACTGGGTCACCCCCCTATTTCAGCATATCTTCAGTTAAAACACAAGAGAGCAGGTGTGATGTAGTGATTTGTGGGTTGGACTACAACTTTGGAGACCAGGGTTCAAATCCCCATTCAGGCATGAAGCTCAAGTTGCACTCTCTCAGCTTCAGAGGAAAGCAAAGGCAAAGCTCTTCTGAACAAATCTGGCCAAGAAAACCCTATGATAAGTTCACTTTTAGTTGGAAATGTGGCCATAAAATTGAAACATAGAGGTGTCACTGTTATCCATATTTACCTGGGAGCAATTCCAATGACATTCCATGGCACTTACTAGTGAGGAGGCATGCACAGAATTGTCCTGCTAATTACCATAAAGCCAGGTGACGTGTACTTAATGTTTTTGCATCTAAACTGAAACTGGTTCAGTTAATTGTCATTGTGTTTATGTTATTTAGAGCATTTATGCCCTGCCCTTCGGCCAAAAAACGTTCCCAGGGTGGCTTACAAATATTAATTTGAAAATTCCCTGTCCTAAGGCAGGTTGACATAATGTATACATATGTTGTCACAGGCTTTCATGGCCAGAATCACTGGTTCGCTGTATGGCGATGCACCAGAAGCATTCTCTCCTGACGTTTTGCCCACATCTATGGCAGGCATCCTCAGAGGTTGTGAAGTCTGTTGGAAGCTAAGCAAGGAAGGTTTATATATCTGTAGTAAGTCCAGGGTGGAAGAAAGAAGTCTTGTCTGCTTGAAGCAAGTATGAACGTTGCGAATGGCCACCTTGATTAGCATTGAATAGCCTTGCAGCTACAAAGACTGGCTACTTCCTGCCTGGGGGAATCCTTTGTTGAGAGGCGAGGAGAAAATGCTTCTGGAAAATGGCCATTCAGCCCAGACAACTCACAGCAACATAATGTATTCTGTTGCATTTGGTTATTTCTTGTCTGTGTTGCGTCAGGGGTAGGAACGAGTCACCTCTCCAGATTTTAACTACAGCTCCTCGCATTCGTAAAA